TTTTCCTCAGAGGTTTTGTTTTTCTTTCATCCTCTCCCCTCCTCTCAGGTACTGTTCGACTACTGACGGCTGGCACCGTCACAAGTTTGTAGGTTTCAGTCCATGGTGTGCTTGCTCCAAGGCAGGGCAGCAGGGCAGAGGGGCACCGCAGAGGAAGCTTGCTCTGGGCATAGCAGCGGAAAGCACAGGCACCCAGGGGAGCAGGTGTACTGTACACAGGCGCCCTTCCAGGCCACGCCCACAGTGACCCACCCCCTCCCACCAAGCTTCCTCTCCCAGGATCACATCCAGCTCTAAGCCTAACAGTGGACGAATTCAGTATCGCACACCCATGATCCAGTCACTCCCAAAGCCCCACCTGAGTGTGTGAGGCTGTGCGGGTACACTTAGATATAAGCCATAACGCAGCCCAAGAGAAAAATTATAATTTAAATGGAACTACATAATACCACACAAAATTTATGACATTTTGCCTTCTGGAATATATGTAGGCTTGCACTTCTAATTTTGCCATTAGCAAACAGGTAAAGATCGTGTATAGAGTGTCACAAATGAAAAAATCAGTTTTGATTGCAGCATTTTTACACCAGGGCACTTGGACCCTTCAAAGAAGTTACTGATTGTGTTTATGAAGCTTAGCCCTGAGCCTCCCCCTCACTCAGCTGCCTTTTCTTGCTGGAAGGTGTAGACTGCTCAGTTTTCTATTTGAAAACAAGAAGTCCTGTGAACCAGAGGGCTGAGAAGCAAAAGGGTAGTATTTCACTATTAAATACTATCTTTAATTGAAAATAAATTAGCTTGGTGATAGAATTCTCTGCTAGATAAAATGGTTCTTCCCAGCAGATAATAAATCACTCAGGGAAACAATAAACTAACTTTCCCTCCTTGAAGATCTCCCGCTTACAGTCGTTCCCACTGAGAAATTCAAACTTGCCGCTGGATTTAAACCTTACCTCTGACTGCAGCCAAACATCTACCTCCACTATGTCCCCCCCACTTATGCCCCCTGCTCATGTAAGAGGTCACCTAGCCAGCCCCTGGCCGCTGCTTCCGGCACCCTGTCCCCTAATAAAGGGCTAGTACTGGGTGTTCGTGTTTTCATCCTCTCACTTGGGAAAAGACTGCTCTCCATTTTTTAGAGTTCTGAAATTTTTGACTCACTTTTTCTCTAAAAAATTTTTTTTTTTTTGCACTGGGGATCGAACTCAGGACCTTGCACTTGGGAGGCAGGCAGCGAAACCACTGAGCTAACTCCCTGGCCCTAAAATTTTTGTTTTTAAAAAGAGAACATGGGGCTGGGGAGTTAGCTCAGTGGTTCCGCCGCCTGCCTCCCAAGCACAAGGTCCTGCCTGAGTTCATCCCTGGTACCACAAAAACAAAACAAAACAAAGAACAAATGTTCACAAAGCCTGACAGGATACCAAAACACCAGTATTAAATCTTCAGATCTTAGTTATTTCATTCAAAAATATTTATTAATCCCAGCTGGGAACTTGGGAGTCTGAGGCCAGCACAGAATACAGTGAGTTCAAGGGCAGTCTGAATTACATAGCGAGACCCTGTCTCAAAAAACAAAACTATATATATAAAGTACATAGCCTTTGTCCTGCTCAACATATCAAGTATGTTTCCTGAGGTGACTGTGTGCACCTGTGCTGATCAATGGTACCCACTGAAGTTGAGCAGTGCACAACATCCATGACTCAGGTGGTTCCTGCTCTTAAGGAGATTAAATCAGCAACTTCTAGGAAGTCTTGTTTGAACTTTGACTCCTCCCCCTCAAACTGCCCCACTTGCTCCTATTACATACACCCAGCCACAGCATTTTACTTGTTCATTTATAATAGTATTACTATTGCAGATAGCTAAGTTAGTTTCAAATTATTATAAGGCAGTTAGACCAAGCTAGGCCCTCAGCCAGCATAGAAAAACAATTGAGGCAAGTTCACTGGTGAGCATTATAAAAAGAGTAACTACTACACCCAACACATACTTCCCCTAGCGATAAGTAGCAGTGATTGATATTCTAAATAGGTATCAATCACCTGGGTGGGGGACCAACCTTAACCCATCCCTTCCTGGAAAGATTCCTCACCCACCCCCACAGAAAAATCCTTGCTCGTTCTGTGTATGCCTGCTACAAGACTAGCTTCCCCTTTTGATCCCCATTTAATCCATACTACGTTACTATACTTATTGTAATCTTATTGGATGATCACAGTTTTGTCCCAACTCATGTCCAGCTTGTGATTTCCTATTGGAACAATACTACCTAAGCAACTGTATTTGTAATCTTACTAGTTGACTATTATTTTGTCACACCTTGAACGGCCTCACCTCAGGGCTTTGCTCCATAAAACTCCCCTGGGAAACAAGGTCCCCTTTCTGTCTCTCTTAGACAGAAGCTATCTTTATCTCAATAACTTTTTCCTATTCTTAACCTTTGTTGTTCCTAGAATTCATTCTTCGATTTTAGAGAACTCGAACTCAAGTTGTGGATATCCAGCAGGTTTGGGAGATATAATAAATACTTCTCTTGTTTGGAACAGGTAAGTACTGATGAAAAAACAGAGAAAAGGGGGCTTTTCCTCACTTGATTTAGTTCTTTGCTTGGAGACCTAGCAAAAAGCAAGGCAGTTTTCAGATCTCCACTTTGGCAGGAATCAGGACACAGCAGATAAAGATCTATATATAATATAGAAAATAAGGGCCAGTAATTCCCCTCTAAAACTCCAACACTCTTTTTAAGAGTTTTTTTTCCCCAAAAATGGAAAAGAAATCTATGTAAATAGGGAAGGGTGGAGGGGGTGAAGGGTGCACAGGTAATGGGGGAAAAAATAAGAACCAAGATTCATCATGCACAGGTACAAGCACCCAATGATAAATGTAAACGTATTGTATACCTAAAATGTACCAAAAAAAGAATTTTTTAAAAAAGTTTTTTTTCCCCTGAACACATTTAAAAAATAACAAAAACCCTGGAGAACCCAGGCTGGTTCTGTATGTTTGCAAAAGTGCATTCCCCACATTGTAGCACCTACGCACAGACCTTCCGCAGCCGGCGGGCGTGTCTGTGACCCTGAGGCATTAAGGCCTTCCCAACCTCATAAGCATCCTCATAAGGAACGGATATTCTAGTTAATTAAGAAAGACATCGCTAATATCTAGCATTTTCACGTCTCTCAGCGTCTCGCTCCCCAGGCTTTAGAGTGGACTCGCCAAGCTTCCATTCCTACCTACCACAACTGCTCGCCGGCCGCGCAGCCTCCTGGGCCTCGTAGGCATCCGCGGACTGCCGCTCGGGAACTACAACTCCCGGCAGGCTTTGCTCCCCCCCCCCGCGGCGCAAGGCCTGCCGGGAGGGGCAGGGAGCGGCCGCCGGGTCCAATGGGTGCTGGCTCCAGAGGGGAGGGCAGAGGAGAAGAGGAAGGAGGTGGACTCTGGGCCCCGTCCCCATTCATTGCCGCTGCCGGCTGGGCGGGGGTCCCGTGTTTTGGGAGTAATGGAGGCGCTGATTCCTGTCATCAACAAGCTCCAGGACGTTTTCAACACGGTGGGCGCCGACATCATCCAGCTGCCTCAGATCGTCGTGGTGGGGACGCAGGTGAGACGCGGCCGAGCCCGGAGCGGGCCTGGCGAGCGGCCTCTGCGGCCTGGAGGACGGAGTCCCTGCGGGCCGGCTTCTCCGCACCTGCCCCCTGGCTGTGGCGCGCCCGGAGAAGAGCCCAAGGCCCGCGGCGGCGGGGCTGAGCTACGGTCCCTGCGACCCGGGGAAGGGAGCGCGGGCGGAACCGGAGCCTGCGGGCCGCGCGGCTTCCAAGGGCACCTGGGGGACGCGGGGCGCGGGCCGATGCGGACTCCGCTCCCTCCCAGGCTCGTTGCGGGGCTGCGGACCGCCCTGGAGCCGCGCGGGAGCGCCAAGGCCGCCTCTGGGTGTTCCTGGCCTGTGACCCCACCAACGCTTTCGAGGTAGCGCTGCAGAATCAGCAACGAACAAAAAATTAACTTCCAAAGTCTCACTCCTCTCTGGAGTTCTCTGGGTGCTAGGCAGGAACAGTCAGGTTTTCGGCTTAAGCGGTAGTTTTTGTTTGCCACAGTTCTGTGATTGTGACCTAAACTATGCACCAGGTTTTCTGGCATGTTCATGTCGGGTCTCTCGGAGAGAAATCATCATCTTTGCTATGCGAACAGGTTGAGCATGGATTTCGAGAGCGACAGAAGTCTGAGTTTCATTTTCTTTGCCTGCTTTCTTTGACTGAAGAGGAATCAGAACTTTTGTTAGAGTTCAGAGAAAAACATTTCACAGATGAGTTAGTATGTAGGTTTTAAGTGCCTTAATTTTTTAGTAGCGTCTTTTCTTTTGAGCTGCCGGTTTTCCCATTGTTTTCCGTGAGGTGAATCACTACCTCTTGCCACAAAATCAAAGTGTATATGGTAAAATTATGAGAAGGAACTAATGCTTACAATATTAGAAGATAACACAGTGCTGTAAACCATGAAAATTATAGACTTCTTGTACTTGTGTTGTTTTGCTTTTAAATAGTTAAAGCAATAGAAGTTATTTTTGAAACAAATATCCTTGGTCTAATACAGGACGAATATAGAGTCTGCTCAATTCTGCCTACATAATCCAGTATTTGAACACTTACTATTTGTAATGTTTGGAGACTCTGAATCAATAATAAATTACGACCAGTATTGTTTTTTGTACCGAGGATCGAACTTGGAACCTTGCGCTTTCGAGGCAGCGCCGGAACCACTGAGCTAAATCCCTAGGATCTAACGTATTTTGTTCTGTCTGGGACACATAATAGGTGCTCCATAAATATGTAAATGAATATTACTCACTGTAACTGGAGAATATTTTAAAACACTAGGACTTTTAACATCAAAAGTAAAGTTTTATAAAAGAATTACAGAGGGGATAACATAAATTCAGTTTTCTTCAGTAGTAATTTGCAAGTGGTGTATAGCTGCAGACCAGAATTTTGCCTTATATTTTTAAGACTTTCAGTGCTTTGTAAGCATGAATCAGAGCTTGGGGCCGGGGTTTAGCTCAGTGGTTCTGGTGCCTGCTTTGCAGGCACAAGGTCCCGATTTCGATCCCCGGTACCAAAAAAAAAAAAAAAAAAGAATCAGGACTATAGTGTATCAGCATAAACAGTTTAAAATCAAGAAAGATTCTTCTTACACAAAATAGCGTATCGGTCAGTAAACCTGTTGGTTGGCAAAATAGAAAGGAGCCTAGGAGAAAAGTAAAGACACGTTCATCTGAAAGCCATCAACATGTGCTGACAGAAACGTGTGCTAGCAGCGATGGTTCTATGCCACCTTTGTGTGTTGTTTGAAATTTCTCAAGGGATCAGTTTTTTGACTAATGAAGTTTATCTTTGTCCAACCTCTCATTAAGTTCAGTCCTTTATTACTCAGGTATGGTAGAAACAATTTCTTTTCTCCATATTTTCTTAGTATTTTGGGGAAGAAAAAAATCTCTTCTACTGGATTTGAATACAGTATACCACATTGGTGGTGAACCTATGGCACGCGTGTTTTCTTTTGAGACAAAAGATGTTAACATATGGGAGTTATTCTTTCTAGACTAAAACCTCAGTATTTAGTTCTAATTGCAGTGTTGGCATTTTGTGATACATAAGTAGGTTTTGGGTTGCAGTTTGGGCACTTGTCTCTAAAAGGTTCGCCGTCACTGGTACACCACGACTTTGTCATTCATGCCATTTTTACTATCTGATGTTGTGTAATATAAATATAGCACATATCTCACATTCTTGTTTTTTAAAAATTTTAATGTTCATTAGTGCATGTTTATGGTATATAATGATTACTTTCATTGTGGAGAACTAATACATGTACATAACACATCTTAGTTTTTAGGGTTTTTTTTTTTTTTTTTTGAGACAGTATCTTTTTAGTTCAGGCTGGCCTTAAACTTACTACGCATGTAGCACAGGTACTATATAGTTCAAGCTGGTCTTGAATTTACTAGGTATTTATGTATCCCAGACTAGCGTCAAATGACCTTTGCGGCGATATCCCTGCCTAAGGCTCCTGAGTGCTGGGATTACGGGGGTGCACCAACCGCCACATCCTGCTTTGCAGGTCCCATTTCGTTGAACTACTTAGAAACGTGATTCTCAGACTCCAGTGTGTGTAAGAGTCACTTTGAAAATACATTTCCTAGATCCCATTCCTAGAGATTTTTGGTTAAGTTTGCAGTAAGCATGGTAACATTGGTGATTTTGATGCAGATGGCTCATAGACCCTAAGCTGAAAAGTGTACAAGTGAATCATTGAATTTTATAATGCACAATACTAAAAAAAGCAGGAATAATTCAGGGAGTTGTTTCTAAGAGTAGATGGTACAGTTTTAAACTATGATTTCTTAAATTGTGCAATTAATAGTTACTTGGGGACTAATGTGTTGGAGGCATTCAGGAGAATCATGTTTACTGGTATTATTCACATTTTTTATTAGTTAGCTAAGTAAATTGCTTTTTTCTTTCTTTAGCTGAGATCGTCTGTGTGGAAAAAACAGAATGGGGAGTAAGAAAGTTGATATTTTACCCCATGGTATTCTTTGCAGGTGGAGAAGGAGATAAGACTTAAACAACTTTTGTGAAAATTTAATCACTATTTAAGTTGAGAACTGGAAGGGGAAGTCCTCCAGGTATGTAATTCAGACCGTCACCTAGAACAGGCCCTCAATGTAGGTGACATTAACCCAAGACTCTGGCTTAGTGTTGCTCCCACTGTTCACCTTGCCTCTTGTTTCAGTGATCTTAGGACTCCATCTTCAGTAATTCAGACTGATGTGAAAAGGGAAAGGGATTTGGGTTTAGATGGCCAACTTGTAAACCAGCTTTTTAAATCTGACATGAACAAATTCATAAAACATAAAATTCACTATTATAAAGTATGCAATTCTGTGGTTTGTAGTATATTTACAAGGTTGTACAATGACCACTGTCTTAATTCTGGAACATTTTCATTACCCCAGAAAGAAAGAATTAAGCATTAGCAGTCACTCCTTCATGTCACCCTCTCCTAGCCTGCAGCAACCACTAATCTTTCTGTCTCTAGATTTGTCTATTGTAGACATTTCACATAAATGTGGTCTTTTGTATCTGGCCTCTTTTGCTCAACATGGTGCTCTTTTAGGTTCATTTGTATTGTATACATTGTCTAGGTTGAGCCTCTCTAATCCAAAAATCTGAAGATCAAAATGCTCCAGCCAATGTTCCAAAACTTTTTGAGTGATATAATGCCACAGGTGGAAAATGCCATAACTGGCCTCATCAAAGATAGTAGTTAAAATGCAGGGGCACTAAAAATATTGTATAAAATAACCTTTAGGCTATCTGTACAGTAAGGTGTATATAAAACATCAAGGAATTTGGTATTTAAATTTGGATCCCATCCCTCATTAAGTATATACAGGTATTCAAAAATCTGAAAAAAATCCTAAAATGGAGATACTTCATTCATACCCAAGCATTTGAGATAAAGGAAATGCAACCTTGTGCTCCATTCCTTTTTATGGCCAAATAACGTTCCATTCTATAGCTTTACCAGTTTATATATTCATCAGTTAATGGGCATTAGTTGTTTCCACTTTTTTTTTTTTTTTTTTTTTTTTGAGACAGAGTCTTGCTGTGCAGCTCATGCTGTCCTTGAACTTGCTGGGTCCTCTTGCCTCAGCCTCCCAAGTGCTGGGATTATAGGCATGTGCTACAAAGCCCAGCTCCACTTTTAAGCTATTATGAGTAATGTTACTGTGAACATTTGCTTACAGGCTTTTATGTGAACATGTTTTTAATTCTCTTGAAGTCAAATTGCTGGGTCATATAGCAACTTTTATGTTTAGGTTTTTGAAAAACTCCGTTTTTCACAGCAGCTGCCCCTTTTATATGCTGTCTAGCAGTGTATGAAGGTTTGGTTTATGCACTTCCTTATCAACATTTGTTACTGTCTTCTTTTAAATGCTAAGTCATTCTGGAATCATTTCTTAGGAAAACGAAGCACCTTTAAACCTCTGTCCTGGTTCCTTCTAGGACCAACTTTTTTTACCCTCTTTTTTCTTTCTTTCTTGTCAAACCACTTTATTGGGATGACCTTGGGACACTGGGTGTCCTGCCCACCATCAAAGGGTCACCCCAGCCTTACCCCTGGTGCCGTCCACGGGCCGGCTGGGCCGCTCCCCAGCCTCCATCCCCCAGGCGAAGAAGCCCCGCAGACCACTCACCAGGGGTCCTAAAGTGGCAACACCCTATCCCTAGTCTTTTTTTTTCTTCTTTTGATGCCTTTTCTTTCTTTCTTTTTTTTTTTTTAATCATGAGTACTATCTACATTTTAGTTCCTCCTGAAATCTTGGGCTTTTCTGATATTGTGTACATTTATCCTGTGCCTGTAAGAGGTGATGGCCTCATTAGGGTTAGTAATTTGGTGCCAAATACTGATTACAATTTTCATTCTTTCTGATGAATTGTTTTCTTTTGAGAATTCTTAAATTAAACACTTTTCCCTTTCAATTTCTTTTATAACCATAAGCTACTTCCTTTTCTAACTTAAAAAACTGAGATTTACATA